ATCATTTTGTTTCAGATCAATGGCAGGAAGTGTGAGCAGGCACTGTGAACCACGCAAAGTTCCAGCAGATTGATATGAAGTTGGGACTCCGCTGTAGACCAGCAGGCCTGTACAGAATGCGTCTGTAGGTGTGCCCCCCAGCCTAGGAGGGACATGTCCGTAGTAATGGTAATGGCAGGCGGATTCTGTATGAAGGGCATTCCAGTGCAGATGTTGTTTGGGTTGGTCCACCATAACAGGGAATCCTTGACAGCATTGGGCATGGTGAGGAGTTTGTGCATGCTGTGCCTGTGAGGGACGTACTGTGTCCGTAGCCAGGCTTGAAGATAGTGCATGTGTAACCTTGCATGATGGACGACACAGGTTGGAGCGGCCATGTGGCCTAGAAGCTGTAAGCACGTCCTGGCAGAAACCTGCGGTCTGTTCCGTGCTGCTGAGACTAAGGTAGCTAGAATCTGAAAGCATTTTATTGGAAGGTGTCTCAGGGCTGGACTCACTGGTGCGGTGCCGCCTGTCGGATGTCCTGGGAATTGGCTCTTCGACCGAGGAGCGCCCTCTGCAGGCCGGTGTCCCGCTTGCCGCTAGGCCCGAGTCCCTCTTGGACCCCGGTGCCCCTCTCATGCCGGGGTGCTGTCCCCTGGTGCTGCCCCTCTCCGGGGAACCCCCACCCTCTATCCCCACCTCACCTCAATCTATAGCCACTACCAGTCATCACTACCCCCCATTCCCTGGGGCAGACTGCAGCGTAAGTGCCACTCATCACTGGCAAAAGGGGTTTGGACCTGCTGCCTCTGCCTACCCTTGGGCTGCCCTCTGCAACCCCAGGACACTTCTTTGGCCTTTAACAAGGCCTGCAGCCTGGGGGTTTTCCAGGCTGGAACTCCCCCACGCTGCTCCACTCTAGGTATCTTTTGTCACTCCCAGGCAACCAGGCCCTTCTCCTTCAAGAAGCTAGAGAGAGACTGTCTCTGGCTTCTGGCCCCAGCCCTCTTATAAGGGCCACTTGGGCCCTCATTAAGCCAGCCGTGGCCTGATTGGGGCGTGGCCCCCAGCCGAGACTGCTTCCCCGAATCAGCCCCGCTTTTCCTTCCCTGCCACAGCCCTCTCCCCAGGCTGTTTTAAGCCTTTTAAGGCAGGAGTGGGTGACCACCCAGCTACAGAAGGGAAGAAGTTGCTTTGAGGGAGTGAAGGTCCGCCCCAATCTAATCTCGGGCGCTGCACTGATGTTAGAGTTGACTTTTGAAAGTTTATTTGAAGACCTAAGGAGGTAAAGAGATGGATCGTAAGTTGGGTGGTCTGTATGGCTATCTGCAGTGTTAGTGCTTTCAGCAGGCAGTCATCCAAGTACGGGAATATCATTATGCCCTCTCTGCGTAGGTGGGCCGCTACTATGGTGAGTACTTTGAAAAATACCGTCGGCGCAGTGGAAAGGCCAAAGGGTAGGACTTTGTACTGAAAATAGTCCTGTGCTATTGTAAATCGCAAAAATTTCCGATGCGATGGGTGAATGGATGTGTGAAAATACATGTCCTGGAGGTCAAGGGCTGAGAAGCAATCCTTCCTCTCTAATGCTGGGATTATGGTACTTAGCGTGAACATTTTGAATCTTTGTATTTTTATAAATTTGTTTGAGGCGCCTTAAGTCTAGAATAGGTCTCCAACCTCCTGTCTTTTTCTGCATGAGGCAGTAGTAAGAATAGAATCCTTTCCTTCTGTACTCGGCTGGTACGGATTCCACAGCCCCCAGGGATATAAGATGGAAGGGGGATGGGTAGGGGGTTTGGAGGTAAGGGGGATGGAGTAACCAGTTTTGATGATTTCCAATACCCGTCTGTCCTTGGTGATGGAATTCTAGATGGGGTAAAATGGGATTAGGAGATTTCCAAAGATTTTGCCATTGGGAGATGGTGCCAGCATTGAGAGCGATGGGGTTCTCGAGCCCTCGACCAAGATTTCAAATCTGCTGTCTGGAGGTTGATGGCTGGGAAGCAGTAGTCGAGGAGGCAGACTGCCTTCTCCTGGGTGTTTTCTGTCTACGGCTCTGCTGATCGTAGAACCTGTTGTGCTGAATGTATGAAGGGGTTCGGAATCGCTGCCGAGTTTGGTAATTGGTTTGTCTCCTCTTGTTCCTAGGTGTGTGGATACCTAGGGATCGTAAAGCGGCCCTGGAGTCTTTCAGTGTGCGTAATGACTCGTCCATCTTGTCTGTGAAGAGCTTGGCACCGTCAAACAGTAAGACCTCTACAATGGACTGTACTGGCTTTGGAAAGCCAGACAGGTGAAGCCAGGAAACTCCCCTCATAACGACCGCTATGGCTATGCATCTTACTGTGGAATCAGCAGAGTCGAGGGCGGCTTGAAGCGCTGTTCTAGTGATGAGGTGACCCTCCATAAGGATGGCTTTGTACGGCTCTCTTTTGTCTTCAGGAATAAAGTTTGTAAATTCAGAAAGGCTGGCGTAGTTATTGCGATCGTATTTTGCCAACGGGGCCTCATAATTGGCAATTCTCAATTGTAACATTGCAGCCGAGTATGCTTTGCGACCGATCAAGTAGTTTCCAGTCTTTATCGTATGGGGTATTCCTATAGTGTTGTTGCTTGCCCCTTTCATTTACTGCATCTATAACCAACGAATTTGGTAATGGATGTGAGAAGAGAAATTCAGTGCCTTTGGCTGTTACATAATATTTCTTATCAGATCTTTTACAGGTAGGTGGAATCGCTGCTGGGGTTTGCCAGAGTAATTTGACAGGATCCATAATCACCTCATTCACAGGGAGGGCGATTCTGGATGAAGTGGACGTATGTAGTATGTCCACTAACTTGTGGCGCAATTCCTGGACCTCTTCCAGAGAAATGTCAAGGGAAACCACCACTCTCTTGTAGAGATCCTGAAACTGCCTGAAATCCTCCGTTGTGGTAGGAGGCATAATTGTGTCACCCGGCGAGAAAGAGGAAAAATGAGTGTCAGCTATGACATCTGGGTCCGAAAATTCCTCCTGTTCTTCGATCCCCTGTTCAGGGACACTAGGAGGTGCACGTGAAGGCAGCATAGGTGGTTGGTGTGCACCAGTTGTGAGCAGAGTGTTGGGTATTCACTGCTGCTGTTGTTGGTATTGTTCCCACGGTTGCCAGAATGGCCGTTGTGGTTGGAATGGCATAGGAGGCATCCAAGGCTGGCTGAACCAGGGTTGGTTTGTAAAGTTTGCAGGGAAGCCAGTGGCTGGTGGTGCCGGTGTGGCAGGATTAAATTACAGGAAATGAATGTTGAGGCGAGCCTATCATATCCTCTTCTCCTTCGTCCTCCCCACTATAGCAGTGTGTAGACAACTGTGGAGAGCTGGGCTGGGAAAGAGCCCTGTGTATCAAGGCGCCATCGGTACTGAGGAGGGGGGACTGAGGTACCGATGAGATAGGTAAGTCTCTGTGGTGCGGGAGTTGCTGTGATGAGGCAGGGTCGGTACCGGTGTGACGGGGAACATGGTACCGTATGCTGGATTGTACTCACAGCTGTCTGGCTGAAATTCATAATGCCGACAATAGGTGGCAGCATGAGCGCTGAAATGCTCAGTGCCGAGGGTTTACTGGCTACTGTAGGTGCCCAGACGTGGGGTTTAACTTTCCCCTTAGCATTTGCGGCAGAGCTCGAATGTTTAAGGAGCTCTATGCTTTTTGGCATCGTCGGTGCTGGTGCTGTCGGTACTGGGAGTGCTTTGGGCACCCAGGAATGTGTGGGTGCTGGGTTTTGGCACTAGGGAACTGGCTGAGGCTTTTGACATTAGTAAGGAATTCATCATGTGGGCAAAGGTGGAAATGACTGTATTTGGGGAGGGAAGGGCTTGAACTACTAGTTCTTTTCTCAGCCATGAACAATCAAAACTTGTATTTCTAAAAGTGAAATCTTAGATTCAAGAAGTTCCCCAACACAAGTAGATTTCGCAAGTTACACAGCTCGAGCATGGTAGAATACATATGGCCCTGAGAATAATTAGTTGAAAGGAATTGCTGAGAGTGGTTGGAAACCTTGCTGCATCCCTGAACCTAGAAAGTCAAGGAGAAATACCACCCCCTCAGACAAGGCATAATTTGGCAGGAAAGGGGATGTCTGTTTCCCAGCTACTCTTGTTCACAAAGCTGTGCTACTTGTAGCAATGCTGGGAAAGAGACAAGAAAAGTAGCAACTGGTGGATGGCTTCCAACCTACCCTCTATCTTCAAGACTGGCTGGCTATGATTTTAATCCCACCCAAAAGCCAACTCACCAACTGCTTTCCATGGTACTAGATATAAGGGTGACTGGCTGGCTGGCAGGCAGTGTGAGATGGACAGACCACCCCAAGGGCTCCAGCTTCTCAGTCAGACCTCTTTAAAGTACTGCTATGCATCCAGCCCTTTCCCCCCACGAGAAGGGTGGCAGCGGGAGCTGCTCCTACCCCTCCCACCTTGTGTTACTTTTGACAGCATCTCCTGGGGCAGTGACTACTTCCTCCCAGCTCCCATTCCTGCTAAGCACCCTACCTAAGACAGCAGTTTATCCATTTTTGGTTCATGACACAAAGCAGCCAAAAAATTCACACTGTGGCATCACTTTGTGTGTCCCCCCCAGGGGCATGGGGTGGGGTGCTAATGCTAGAGGCACCTCCCCCCGTCCCTGCATTGTGCTCAGCTCCAGGTCTGTGCACTCACTTTACTACAAAAGGCTCTGAAGGAAATGTTGGAAGCAACAAGAGAAAGGGGAGGGAATGAGCTGCTTCTTCAATTCCTTGCCCAGCTTCCTCAGGCTCCCATCAACCCAGGGATTCTTGCTGCTTTCCTTTCTCCACAAGTACGCTAGCAAACCCACCCAGCTCCCGCATGCAACCCTCTTCAGGGCTGCATTCCATTAGCTGAGCAGCACTGACCCCCTGTTCATTTTATTACAGGTTATGCTTTTCAATCTGCTGCTACAAGGGTATAATACTTCACAAGTTAACATCCTCTGTTCTCCCCCATGCAGTTTACCTTGTCACGGGTACAGATATGCTTCTTGTTTTTCACTTCACAGACCCGAGCGAATTTAAGGAAGCGCTTATAATCAAAATTATTCTGGATTCCTAAGTGATGGCAATCCCTAAAAGTATTCCAGAGAGAATGAATTAAAAGCATTCAATAATGAAATTTTACTTACAGTAAAAGCATCAGCATTGGGCAATTTTTTTTTTTAGGATTATAATAAAAGTAAAATCAGGAAGATTTGTACCTGGCAAAGTAATCCCATTTGTCAACATCAATGCCATTTCTTTTGTTAGCCACTATCTCATAAAGGAAGCTTTTCTCTTCTGGTCGACCACGGTATGGCCACTGGAAAATCAGAACAGCTTATTCAGAATAGGTTAACTCATGGTCAGCAGCAATTTCAGAATGCGTTTATAGATGTCAGAAATACATTTTGATTTTGCACATGACAGTATGGATAAATACATTAAATCAGTAGTTTTGATGAAGAAAATCTGACAAAAAGAAATAACTAACTTTCAGAAACCGAGCTTGTGACATTAGTATCTAGAGCTGGTGTTTAAGCAGCAAACTCCCCTAACATGATTAAATGGGTACAAGAGTGCTTAATTTGCAAGTTATACTGGAATTAAGGAAAATCTGCAGCTTTAAGCCACTTGGTAGAAGTTTATAGTGATGACAGTTTGTGTCCCCGCTGGCTCCTCCAAGCTCTGACACAAGCTGCCAACCATAAGAAGAGAAGAGAGATTCTCTCTACTGTTCAAATGCCAGGGATGACTATTTTGGAAAATTTGCACCCTTCAGTCTAGCGCCAGATGCACTCAAGAAGTCAGCCATTAGCAAGCACTGGGAAAAAAAAAAATCAGAGAACTTCAGTTATTGTAAGATGCACGGTTCATGTGTATTAGTATTTCTTGTGAGTTTAACCAAATACTATCCTTCAGGGCAACTTTAAAATTCCGTAAAAAGATCCTGAAAAAAGGAAATGCAACTAAAAAATGTTTTGCTTTTATGTTGTCTATTTATCAATCTGTTTTTTCTATTTAGAACATAAGCTCTGTGGGGCAGGCACCAGTGTCTGTATACTGCCTATTACCAAGGGAATCCTGATCTTGATGGTGGCCTCTAAGAATTACTGTAATACAAATAATTATCTGTAAACGCCAATGTTTGTCATGACAAAGCTGAATGTTTGAATTCTATTTTGTATCAAGCTGTCAAGATAGAGGCTTTCCATTTATCGTATATGTTTTTTGTGTAAGCCTTTGTAATTTGCTGCAGTGATTGGAATCTCCCCTACTAGAACAGTTTCCCTTTAAAGGAACAGTCTGATCATCAGAGAAGCATGCTGGTAGGATGTTTAGATTCTAGTTTCAGCTCTGCCAATAATTGAATGTATAACTTTGGGCAAGTCACTCAACAGCTGTACTTCTGTGTCTTCATCTGCATAACAGGATAAGACTTGGCTGTTTCACTGGGCTATGAAGATTAATAATTGTAAACTCTCCTTCCTTGCCTAATTCGATCACATCACTCCCTTCTCTGAATCCCTCCACTGGCTCCCCAATCACCATTTCATCAAGGAAATGGTCACCACATTCAAGATTTTACACAATTCTGCCCCTTGCTCTGGTCAAGCGTCCTCTGCTTCAGTACTTCCAGCCTTGTTCACCTGTTTGTCAGCCTCTTGCTGAATCACCTCCTTGTGGCTCCCTATGCATGACAAAACTCCAAGCTCATCAAGGCCCCTACCTTGTCCACATGTAAGTTCCCATTAAAGATCCAATTCAACAAAGTTGTTTACCATGAACAAGTTGACTTGTATACAAAAATTGTCTCATTTCCTTTCCCTGTAGCTGTCTGCATATCAATCTGGTCTTAGATTTTGAGCTTCTTGGAGCAGGGACTGTACTTCTTGAAGGTTTGAGTGCCTAGCATGTCAGTGAATCCACCAACCGCTAACAATCCACAAACAACAATGCACTCTGCACTTTGAGATGCTTGGATGGAACATGCTCAAAGTAACGTTATGACAACTTTTCACACTGATCTCCTAACTTTAGTGTCTGGAAGTGTCCCAGAAACTATACAGATAGAGCTTAAAATGAGAATAGCAGCGAAAATGATATTTTTATTTCACTTAAATTGAAGAGCATTTAAAATAACTTCCACAGAAGCAGCAAACTGACTTACCAAACCCCGACATGGGGTTTTATCTAGGGGTCCTCCTATTTGTTCTTTGATGAAGTCCATATCTTCTTTCAGGACAAAACCATAATCTTCCATGACTTTTTCTAGTCCATTGGAAGTAATCAGGTGTTCAAACATCTGAACAGAAGCAGTTTCATGCTGCAGAAAGTATGTATAAATGTTACTTTATCCACACACACAAGCTGCTATCAGACTTAGCCAAAGTCAAATGTCTGAGCTGGGAATAGAGTAACTTCAAGTACCTGTTCTAGCCACTGGACCAGGCTGTCTTCAAGAAATGCAAAAAGTTAAGGTTCTCATACTAATATCAACTTGTCCACAGTGCATGTATGTCAAATTTTGACTATTGGGCTGTTAAGCATGTATTTTAATATCCAGGAGGTTCAATGCTGGGAAAGTTACTATACTAAGAAAGGTAATTTTGATATTGACCATCTTCATTTTCCGTTAGCTTAATTTTCCATTTCTCATGTATTAGCACAATGAGGGTTGCAGAGAATATAGGGAAACATTTTTGTTACATTTAAAAAAAATTCCAAAGAATACTAGAAAACCTTTCAATTTTAAAAAAATTGAAATTAAATTTTGAACATACTTTTACCTTTTTAGATTAGATTTCTGTCTACAGTTAATATTTTATGCCTATAAAATCTGGGATGTGGGCAAAGCTACCCCATATACATTAAGGGACTATGCCAACTTGGAACTACCCCCAATGCTCCTCTCAGTCTCTCTTGCCCCAGGCTCACGTGAAGAAAGACCGGTCAGGAGTATGTGCAAAGAAAAGGAAAATTCCTTCTGCTCCTCCCCAGCTTGGATATTATGAGACAGAATAAAAACACCAAGGGTATCACCATGATTGGGAGAGAGAAAGCTTTTTTGAAATTTAATCAAGGTAAATATGCTTGTCACTCAGATTAGAACACCACTGTCTGCTCACAAAAGCAGGCACTATTGACTGCTCATATATTTAAAGGTGAATTACCTTTTCCTTTCAAAAAATATTTAAGTGGCATATTTCACTTGCATATTGTTCTCGGTGTAAAATACTTGCCTTCCATTTCAGACCTGGGCGAGCAAGTGGAATAAATCTTCCATCAAACATGTGTGAAAATGGTCCATGACCTTAAAAATAAGAGTGTACAGGCTTAATCTGAAACATGTTTGTCAGCAAAAACGTAAGTAGGAACTGTGTGAATTTGTATTCTCTCATTTCATTGTACTGCTCTTCACAGAATGGGAGAATAAGATTCAAATGCAGTAAGTACACTATACAAACGCAACAGAGGGTCTTGTGGCACCTTTGAGACTAACAGAAGTATTGGGAGCATAAGCTTTCGTGGGCAAGAACCTCCCTTCCACTTGCATCTGGAGAAATGGGGGTCTTACCCACGAAAGCTTATGCTCCCAATACTTCTGTTAGTCTCAAAGGTGCCACAGGACCCTCTGTTGCTTTTTACAGATTCAGACTAACACGGCTGCCCCTCTGATACTATACAAATGCAGACG